CTCACGTGGTTGCAGAGCTACCGGGATTTAAAAATAGTTACGCAAAACAGAGCGTGCTGCTCTGACCGGCTTTAAAGGGTTAAACGTCTCATCAGAAACTTGTTGGAGCGCCGTGATTGGCTGCAATCATTCATCTCCCCACCAGGAAAATAACACATTATTCTGGTGAATCTTTGATTTTGTTAAACACTTGAAAATGTAATTACATTGTGATCGGCCTACGCTGCACTGTGTGTTAAATGCTAATTACCACCATATAACCATGTTAAGATACATAATTAATAGAATAACTGCTAAACAGCAGAACCTTAGCAGCGCCAGTCTACTGTCACAACACTGATATTTAGCTCAGTGAGCTCATTTTAAGGGTTTTTTAATATTCAAACCAGAGTCATGCCTGAGTTTTCTGTTTGCATTGACAAGAAAGAATTTTACATAAAGGAAAACTGATGAAAAACTTGGTAAACTCGACTACATATGCAGTAATTCATGGTCCCAGAAAAGTCTATAAATGTACTTTTAAGATGATTTTCATGAGCATGAACATATAATATAAACCAAAAGGCTCATTTCATTTTATATGTAATGAATATAAAACATCTTTTTTGTGCACAGAGCTTTTATAGCAGCCCCAATGTCCTCTCACAATAACAGGATCTAAAGCGATGCATGCGTCACCCTGCACAGTGTCTACGTGCACACAGTAACTACAAACAGAGTTATGCTCACACCTTTCTCTGTTAACAGACACTTTTCAAAGCTGATGGGAAATTAACTTTAAACATATCTGAGGTTACATACTAACAATGTCAGTTCCATTGAAGACTTTGCAATAACTTCCTGCATTCATCCATCCTTTGCCGGCTTTACCACAGATCTTACTCTTTCACCTGGCTGAGCCCACTCTCCATTTCTCTTCTTTTCCACCTATTCGTCACACTTCCCCTGCTCTATATCTTTTTCTTGTTATCTCCTCTTATGTCCCTTCCTTTTCTTCTTTTCTTGACCCTTCCACCCCCTTCTAGCTTCTCCTCCTGCCCCATCATTACTCCTCTTTCAGCACTCATCTTTCTAAGGCTACCGAATTCCCCAGCACAACAGTGCTATTCTGCCGCCAACTAATAGAATCCCTCAGTTCCTCTAATGGATCTGTCAGAATCTCCCGAGCACAGGAGACCAGATGGATTGATAGGAGAAGGTAGAGAGACAGAGGAAGGGGGACAAAGAGACAGAGACGCAGAGAGATGATGAGACAGAGTGGGAAGCGAAGAGAAAAAAAGCGCCAAAGCTCTCGACACTTTCATCTGTGCTTTGGAAAGTCTCAAAGCGGCAGCTCGGCTGACACTGCCAAGCAGCCCCCATATGGTCCAATAGACGCAGGAGCACCACATAAGGCCATCCTATTGTCACCATGGGAAAAATGACACTTTGACTGTTGCCAGGTAAAGTCAAGAGTGCTCAGTAGTTACAAAGGCGGCTCTGTTTCTGCTTTTCATGCCTGAACTGACACTCATCACCCATGAAAAGTTCTTTGTACAATGAAAACGAGAATAAAAGTTTCCACAGCGGATAAACCGACTGCTTACATTTCAAGTATTTCTTAAAATCGATCCTATCTAGATTATATATGAGTTTTACTCAGATTACAGTGCAACTCACCATTATCGGTGGCGATGAAGACGGCTGTGTATTTGTTGTCGTGGACATAAGGAGACTCGCGATCCAGCGAGGCTGAGGTGTTGACAGTTCCTCTGACTGGGTTCACGCTCAGCCAGCCTGCAGGGTCCTGCAGAACAGCATACCTGTAAGAAAACAAAGAGACCACGTGAGGAAATCATCAGATCAACTATCGTCCAGGATGCTGTCAGTCGATTCTATATTAGAACAAATCAGCAGTGCAGTTTGATTAGATCATACCATTTGAAAAGATCCCAAACAGAGCTGAGGTCTGAAGATGATGAGGACCTCTCTCCAAATCTGGTGGGCGAGCGGCCAAGCCTGCATCGCTTTGAAAATGAGCCTGAGAGCAGATCACGACCTCGCTAATGCGGCCACTCAATCGGCCACTGATGGCTGCTCGATGGTGATTGCAAGAGGCTCTCATCTGCGCTACAGTAACTTTACATGTGATTGATTTAAGAGCTATGGGTGAATATATATATATGTTATTTGTGTGTGTGTGTGTGTGTATACCAAACTTTTAGCTGCCTCTGCTGTTTCCGTGCATGCATTATTTGACATACGAGCCTGGTGCATCCTGCACTGCGCACACACACGAATGTGCAGACTTTCTTCAACACAAGGTCGCTGTTCGAGTGCTCAGCAGTAGACAAATTGTCTTTCAAATGGAGCTCTACAGCTAACAGAGCGCGACAAAGCCTCAGGAAATGGCTTTGCAATCAACCTCTGCTCACACCTTTCCCCCTCCCACTCTCGCTCCCAGTGATTACTGCTGTTAACAAACACATATGTTTCATTGTAACAAAATGTTACTGATAATGACGCTTCTATCATTGTAAATGCTCCTTTTCTACACACACACACACACACACACACATTACACACTCTTGTTAAACACACTGAAGAGCCACATGATTCATAAGGCCAACTTCTCCACTGTTACAGAGCTGGGCTGACAGGTTATTAACCTCCATATGTCTCTCTCGCCGTCACCGACTGCAGTTTTAGACACTTGCTCTGGTTTGTGCCTTGCATCAGTTTTTCATCATCGCTGCACTGCGACAGTGAAATGCACACACGTGAACATGCACACAACAATGTCGGGAGGGTATTTGTTGTTAAGCGTATAAGCATTTTTGCACAGCTGCCTGCCTAGTGCGATGACATCAGTCACATTATTTCTATTATTTCTATTATTGGATAGAAATAATGTGACTGATGTCACATTATTTCTATTATTTCTATTATTGGATAGAAATAATGT